ATTAACCCCAAATAAAGTTCAGCTGTTCTAGAAGATCTTTCCTGACATTTTCTTAGTCACATCCTACAGCAAAAGCCATGGGCCGCAGAGAGCTTCCAAAGCATCAGAGGGATCTCATTGTTAAAAGGTATCACTCAGGAGAAGGGTACAAAAGAATTTCCAAGGCATTAGATATATCATGGAACACAGTGAAGACAGCCATCATCAAGTGGAGAAAATATGGCGCAACAGCAACATTACCAAGAACTGGATGTCCCTCCAAAATTGATCAAAAGATGAGAAGAAACTGGTCCGGGAGGCTGCCAAGAGGCCTACAACAACATTAACCACTTGCCAACCGCAATATAGCTGAATGACGGCTACAGTCCGGTTGTCCGGTTTTGGGAGGGTGTCATATGACATCCTCACAGGCGCCTCCAGCGGTGCTCACCTGGCGCTATCCGTGATCGCTGTGTCTTATGGACACAGCTGATCACATGATGAGGTAGCCTATCAGTGCAGCATCATCAGTGCCTCCTCATCAATGCCCACCAGTGAAGCCTATCAGTGCCACCTCATCAGTGCTACCTATCAATGCACATCAGTGAAGGAGAAAAATTACCTGTTTGCTAAATTTCATAATAGAAATAAAAACTTTTTTTTTCCCCAAATTTTTTGCTTTTTTCTTGTTTATAGTAAAGAAATAAAACACCCAGTGACAAATAAATACCACCAAAAAAAGCTCTATTTGTGTGAAAAAAAAAAGATAAAAATTGAATATGGGTACATTGTTGCATGACTGCACAATTGTCATTCTGAAAGCTGAAAATTTGTTTGGGCACGAAGGGGGTAAAAATGCCCGGTAGACAAGTGGTTAAAGGAGTTGCAGGAATATCTGGCAAGTACTGGCTGTGTGGTACATGTGACGACAATCTCCGATATTCTTCATATGTCTGGGCTATGGGGTAGAGTGGCAAGACAGAAGCCTATTCTTATGAAGAAAAACATCCAAGCCCGGCTAAATTTAGCAAAAACACATTTGAAATCTCCCAAAAGCACGTGGGAAAATGTGTTATGGTCTGATGAAACCAAGGTTGAACTTTTGGCCATAATTCCATCACCAAAAGAACACCATACCCACAGTGAAGCATGGTGGTGGCAGCATCATGCTTTGGGGTTGTTTTTCTTCAGCTAGAAGTAGAGCCTTAGTCAAGGTAGAGGGAATTATGAACAGTTCCATATACCAGTCAATATTGGCACAAAACCTTCAGACTTCTGCTAGAAAGCTGAACATGAAGAGGAACTTCATATTTCAGCATGACAACGACCCAAAGCATACATCCAAATCAACAAAGAAATGGCTTCACCAGAAGATTAAAGTTTTGGAATGGCCCAGCCAGAGCCCAGACCTGAATCCGATCGAAAATCTGCGGGGTATCTGAAGAGGGCTGTGCACAGGAGAAGCTTCGCAATCTGACCTATTTGGAGAGTTTTTGCAAGGAAGTGTGGGCAATTATTGCCAAGTCAAGATGTGCCATGCTGATAGACTCATACCCAAAAAGACTGAGTGCTGGAATCACATCAAAAGGTGCTTCAACAAAGGATTAGTTTAAGGGTGTGCACACTTATGCAACCATATTATTTTAGCTTTTTATTTTTGCTTCCCACCACCTAAAATATTTCAGTTTGTTGTTCAACCAAGTTGTAGTTTATAGGTTAACCACATCCTGACCGCCCTATAGCTTATATACTGCTACAGGGCGGCAGGGGTGCGCAAATCATGTATATATACATGATTTCGTATTTCCGGGTAGGGGGGCGTGTGCGCCCTACCCACCCCACCATTCGCGGCCGTCAATCACCGGGTCCCGGCCGGTGATTACCAAGCATCTCCGATGGGGAGGAGGCCCACTTTGTTTACTAACAGTCCTCCTTCCTGTTGGCTCTGGCACACTGCTCTGAATGGCTGAGCACAGCACAGCCATCCAGAACATGTGCTTACACACCAACACACCACCCCCCAGTAAAACACTCCCAGCACACAGTTAACCCCTTGATAACCCCTTCCTGCTCAGTGCCATTAGTACAGGGTCAGTGCTTTTTTTTTTTTTTTTTTTTTTTTTTAAGTGTCAGAATGCCCGCCGCAGTCCCATTATAAGTCGCTGATCGCCGCACTTACTAGTAAAAAAAAAAAAAATTCCAGTATCTATACTGCCATTTGTAAACGCTATAGGGATTTGTTTTTTTTTTATTAGCAAAGACATGTAGCAGAATATATTTTGGCCTAAATTTAGGATGAAATTTGATTTTTTTTTTTTTTTTTACTGGACATGTTTAATAGCAAATAGTAAAAAAAATCGTTTTTTTTTCTCAAAATTGTCAGTCTTTTTTTTATAGCGCAAAAATTTAAAAATGCACAGGCGATCAAATACCTCCAAAAGAAAGCACAATTCGTGGGGAAAAAACGGACTTGGATGCAGCGTTGCATGACCGCGCATTTGTCAGTTAAAATAATGCAGCGCTGTAATGCAAAAAATTGGCCTGATCAGGAATGGGGGTAAATCCTCTGGAGGGCAAGTGGTTAAAGGTGGAAAAAGTTCTGAAATGATTTGTCTCTTTTTTACATCACAGAAATCTGACACGTTAACAGGGGTGTGTAGACTTTTTATATCCACTGTAGGTGGATCAAAATTTGGCCAGTTCTGCTGGGACTGGCCACATTTCGATCCATCTATGGTTATTCCAGTACATGAGAAGTCGATCTAATTATTAACTGGTCACGAACCTGCTTGATGGAAAATTTTTGTTCAATCAAACGCTGATCCGTGTATTCGGAAAATGGAGGAGTCGCTGCTATCAGAATACAATAAACAAAGGGGAAACTCTTTCCACCTCGCTTGTGTGGATGGGGGAATCCGATTTTTCTTTTTCTTTTTTTTTTTGAGCAGCCCGCTGGCTGCTCAAAAAAAACAAAACTGACCCATGTATGGCCAGCTTAAGACAGGGTGTGTGTTACTACAGAATCACTAGAAAAAAATACCTGAAAAAAGAAAATGAACACAGCTGCCACCATCTTTTTTGCAGTGGAACACAGGAAGGAAATGCAGTTTATTTGGCAAAACTGACAAGCATGGTAAAACCAGGCACCATATTTTACTTTCTTGATTGCAAAGTTGATACAACTAATTGCAAAATTTAATAAAAACAAGTTTTGTTTGTACTTCTGATTGCATATAATTTATTGCATAAGTACTGATGTACAATTATCAAGGCTGATAATAAAGAGACATCTGAAATGGTCCCTCACAATAAAATAGCTATGTTTGTGCTTGTATATACATATTTCACACGCGGCTTCCAAAATTCTAGGCAAACCATTGAAATGCACCTGTCTGCCTTCAATAGCAGTAACCATTTTACGTGTTGGATCCATACTGAGTTTTTGAGGTTACAGTCTTGTGACAGCAGTAAGCAATGAAGATTGGTTAAAACACATGACAGCTGCCTCCACTGACGAATGCTTGAGGGTGCATGTAAAGTGTACCTGTCATTTAGCAGTAGACATAAATCTTTGTAAGAAGATAGCATTGTAGATGGTTATATTTTTATAGTTATGCTTAAGACTTAAGTCTTGTTTAAAGCGGTGTTCCACTCACCCTGTCAAAAAATAAGTTAGCAGCTAAAAAACTGTAGCTGCTGACTTTTAAAAAACAGCCACTTACCTGTCCCTCGGTCCTGTGGTGTGTCCCCCGCAGCCCGTTTCACCGGCCGTCCTGTATTCCAGGAGGCCGGCATCTTCAGTGTGGGCACCCGGCTGTAATAGCGCGTGGCTTCACAGCCGGATACCCCCTGCGCATGTGCGAGTAGCGATGCACTTCATTAATGGTCCTGTAGTCTTCTGGGACCTGTCACATGTCCCAAAAGACTACAGAGAGGAGGACACCTTCTGTGTCCGATCGCCTAGGCTATCGGACCAGAAGTGGGAGCGGATACCTGTCAAATTCGGATACCCGCCCCCCAAAGGTGCCAATCCTTAATGGGGAGCAGTCCTTAAAGCGGAATTTCCCCTTTTGGGTGGAGCTCCGCTTTAATATGTATATCAGGGCATACATACATAACAAAACAACACAAAAAACATTGACTACACTTATACAATCCGGTGTGTTCCTACCTTTCATTTGAATGGACAACACTGAGCTCCTGTTGCACTGAAATCCCAAAAACTGGTGTCTTCCTTAGTTCTTCCCTGCTGGACTACAAACCCCCCAATCTCTAAAACATAGGGGTAGGTGTTCTGTAGTCCTGCAAGGATGAACTCAGACAGGGCTGACAACATTCCTTGGAACTGCAGTGCTGCGAGAGAACAATTGTCAGCTCAGTCAAGGAAATGAGGAGCTCACTGGATTTTTGGCAAATCAACGACTGCTTCTGTACTTGCAGCATTTATAAAGAGACAAAACATGAAGCAATGTGCAAGTATTGCAGAGGTATACTGCATATTTTTTTTTTCCCCCCAGACATTCACCTCGTTTTATGTAATTGTAACAGTGTGCTGATGCTGGGTGTAAAAAACTGTGGAAAGGAGATGAGTCGCCTGTTAAGCCTTGATTTACCCTTTGTATTTCTCCCTGTAACTCCAACAGGGACAAAGAATGGTGTCTCTGCTATTCCCTACCTTATTCCTGTTCAATTCTAACTTGGCAAGTTTAAAGTGGTTGCAAAAGCTCAAGGTTTTATTACCTTCATGCATTTATGTGTGCCCTATCCCCCTCAGCTCAGGAGCAAGCCTGCTGGGGTGCCCCCATAGCAAGCTTCTTACTATGGGGGCAGGAGCGCCGGTGTGGAACCCGAGAAAAGGAGGATCAGGGCTGATCTGGGCAAAACCACTGCACAGGAGCAGGTAAGTTATGACATGTTATAAAAAAAAAAAAAAAAAAAAAAAAAAAACTGCCTTTACAATCACCTTAATTACAATAAATAATCCTTGGCAATAGAGATTTTAGCAGATACATCTGCATGTGTTACAGTATCCTCTCATAAAACAGGAGGTAGGCCTGAGAGTTCAGCACTTTGTTCAGTGGTACCGCTTGTACATGGCTGTCGCTGATGTGGAACCAATGACCTTTTGTAGGCTCTGTAGTCGGCACTGCAAAGAAGTAAAAGTTAAATTAATTCTCACACCTATTTACTATTGGGTTCATCTTCTGAATCACTCAAATATGATCTTACCTTCAGGAAGTACTTTCCGAAGTACAAGGTCGCACAGATGAGTGTTTGGGGTTCGCGATTTCACATAGGCAGTGTAGTGTCCAGAACGCATGGTTCCACTGTGTTCAATCACACCATACAAGGAGTACAGAAGTCTGTCCTCTCCATCAGAGATATTCTGGAAGGGGGAGAAAGCATTAGAACATTCCATGTTTGGATGTTTTCAGCCTACCATATCAGCAGTTTTAAAAAAAACAGTCATATTTTCTCTCTTTTCCATCAAGAGACACAGAAGGCCTAAACCTTGGTTATATTACCACTTACATGAGAAATGGACACTGGCATGTGTTTTGCTAGTGTCCTAAAAGGGTGGGTCTCTTTTCTTCAGCTATACTGTATTAAAGACTCGCTGATTTTTTTGCTGGCACTTTTTTAGCCTTCAATTCTGTCTTCAAACAAGACTCTTCTCTATGTTCCTGCAGGAGTTTTATCTCCAACAGCAGCTATCCGGTGCAGTAGGCCTGGTTTCTGGAGTACTGTATCTGGACCCAGGCAAGCACTTACCATTCCAGTAAGAAGAGAAAATGTGTCAACTGATAACAATGATAGTTGAAGGCTGGTGACATGCAAAAGCAGACTATTAAAGGCTAAGAATACGTTACCAAAGACTGCTAGATATCATTGCCATTGCAGCCCCTTTACAAATCGGTGCTCTTACTACTGGCTGCTGGGGCCTGAGGACAGCACAATAAGCACCAAAGGAGCGCAGGCAGTCCTCAGACAGCAGTTTGGGCCCCATGGTTCTGTAGCCATGGCACCGATCTTTCCACTGTCATGAAAAAGGGATTTATTATTTCTGCTGCCATGATAATGCTGCAGTGATGGATTTCTTCTGTTGTTATGACAACGGAGCTGTGGCCATCCATTGCCACCATGGAGTGTTTCCAAATCTTCTGTCACCATTACAAAACCCATTTCTCCATTTGCATGGCAATGGTGCAAACCCTCTGTTGCCATGGCAATGGGGACCTAACTGATTCCTCTGACTGTATAGCATATCAGTGTATTACTCTGTTGTCACAGCAATAGGCCTGATAAAGCATTGGTGCTATAACAGTGTTGCTGTCCACAGCCACATTGATGGAGCCTCTCTAGGGCAACGGAATCCTTGAATGGTGTCAAATACCCAGTTGGGAGTAGCTGATCTCTTCACTGCTATGATAATTTGTGAACTATGCTTGATACATTTGTTGCCAATCCTTCAGTTGCCAAAATAACTGATTATATGGTCTTCTGGCTCCATGGCAATAATGTGGCAATAAGTGGTCCCCTCTGTGACAACATGACAAAGGGGCACACCCATTTCCTGTCATGGTAAAAGGATCTGTTATTGATCCCTCATTCATGAATGGCACACATTTTGCAGCGAATTGTACATTCTACAAACTAGCTATAACAGCTTTGAATAGTAGTACCATATCTGACCAGTACAATGTAATAGTGGTGTTATTAGCAGAAACTTGCGTGACACCAATATTGTGGCCTTTGCTACTGACCTTGCATTTTACTGTACTGAAGGGAGCCAGGTCAATGACTTCCGGGAACTTGATGTGTTTGTTAATCTTGTGAAGATTGAAACCGTTCTGGGGATTAAAAGAAAGAAAGATTATCACTGGGGTTACTTTCAAAGCAAATAAAAAAAGAAAAAAAAAAATCAGACACTACAATGGTTTTATTGATTCTGGGTCATGTTACCACCTTAATACACCTCTATTAACCACTTGCCCTCCGCCTGCGGTTTATAAACGGCAGGGCGGTGGCACTCCAGGGGCGGGTTGCCGTTCATAAACGGCACCCACCTTTTCTAGTTGTGCGCTCTCCATGGGAGCACGCAGCACCGCAATCCGGTGTCTGCTGTGTCCGGAGGACACAGTGAAACACCGATCGTCAGACAGGACCTCTGTACAAGGTCCCGATCATGTGATCACTGATTGGCCAATCAGTGATCACATGCAAAGTAGTAAGCAAGATGTCACTTGTGACATCATTGCTTACTACGTGTGAAATCTGTGAATGATCACAGAGGTCACATGGTACAAGGCTATTCACAACAGCCTTGTACCATGTGACAAGGTGTGACCAATCAGCTCACTCAGTATTTCTCAATGGCTGCAAGAATGCAGACAGAGAGAAAGAGAAATGATTGCTTTTACACCTATATAGGGTGTAAAAGCAATCACTGTAAAAAAAAATCTTCATCACCCCCCACAAGTAGTACAGTGTCACCATGATGACACTGTACTGCTAGGGTGACAGTATGTAAAAAAAAAAAAAATACATAAATAATAATATAAAAAAATAAAATAAAAATGTAAAAAAAAGTTTAAAAATTATAATTTTTGGTTATAAACTAATTTGGTGTATTATTTGTTTTACTAAAAATATAACGGAATACATTTTGCCTAAGATTTATGATGAAAGATTATTTATTTGCAAAATTTTATAAGAAAAACACTTTTTTTCAACATTTTTGGACTTTTTCATTTACATAGCAAAAAAAATAAAAATCCCAGCGGTGAATAAATACCACCAAAAATAAAGCTTTATCTGTCTCAAAAAAATTAATATGGGTACAGTATTGCATGACTGCGCAATTGTCATTCAAAGTGTGATAGCGCTGAAAGCTGAAAATTGCCCTGGACAGGAAGGGGGTAAAAGTGTCCAGACTGGAAGTGGTTAAAGCTGAACTCTATAAAAGCAGCTAAATAAATGTAGTATGAGAAAATGTCAAAATATTCCCAATATTCCCAATGAACACATTCCTGCAGATGGCAATGCAGTATTGCTGTGTGCTGTACTGACCACAGACTGGGAACTGTAGACAATCCAAGTGAAGAAAGGTCACCAGCACACCAAGGATTCCTCAAAAGGGGCCCTGCGTGGATCCAAAACGTTGCCTTCTGCTTACCATGTGACCACAAAATAGAGCTTTGGACCCATTTTGAGGATTTCTTGGTGTGCTGGTGACATTTCTTCACTCAGTGTGCACCCAACCCTTGTAAACATGCACACAGCATTGTTGTAGAGTAACAGAAATGTGCACTGCAGCAGAGCCTGTCCAGATTCTACTCTTTGACCTAGCTGAAGACTACAGTATCCAGGGCAAATTTGGGCTTGGCCCCCCAGCTTTACTTGGTTACTATGTGGCTTTTTTTTCTTTACTTTTTGAAGGTATTTCTCTTAGAAAGTACTGAAGAACATTTTAACAGTATATAGAGGTCAGGATATAAAAAGAAAAGAGGATTCATTTTGGCTACTAAGAACTGGGGCCTGGCTGTGGCTACACCTGCTGTACCCAAGTCCCTGCTTCTAACATTTACTATACCCAGTGTGAGTGCAGTTGTGTGCCAGGTTACTGGAAATACTTTTTTTTTTTTTTTTAAAGGGCAGACAAAGGACAAGTCTCCAGTGTTGCCTGGGGGCTGCCTGCAGCTTATCCTTTCTCCATTACTGAATTACCACGTCTTGTTCTTCCTATGCGGCAGGGACCATCTTGGTAGGGGCAAGACATTGCTTCTTTATGCCAGCGCTTTCCCCACGATAACTGGTTGAGGAATAATCAAGCAGCAGCAGAAGCAACAGTAGAAGGTGAGATACAGATAGCACAGACCCACAGAATTGATGAAGCAGGAGCAAACAGCAACAGAAACAACAGTAGGAGAGATACAGAAAGTACAGATCCACAGAACTGATGAAGCAGAAGCAAACGGCAGCAGAAACAACAGTAGAAGGAGAGATACAGAAGGTACAGATCCACAGAATTGATGAAGCAGATCTTTACACTGCATTCTCTCCAGGTAGGAGAATAGTGAGCAGCACAGTAGTCACATAAACAAATCTCACTCCAGATCTTGAAACTAGAAGTCAGAGACAACAGTGCCTTAGATCTCACACTGCAGATTTACAGCGTTACAAATCAGGAAGTGTCTAGGCACAGAAAGTGCACCGCTATGTTTTAGGAGAATTCCAGGCAAAATGATTGATTTTTCAGGGTACTATTTAGACACACTTAACATTTCTAGGTGTTCCCTATAACAAAACAAAATTTCCATCTTTTGAGTTCAGGTCCACTTTAAGTACTTGCACTGGCTGCAATAAAAATGAACATAAGCAATACTATGTATTTTTTTCCTTTAAAGGTGTTACTAAACCCAGGACCCTGCATTCACTATATCTGGTCTCCCACAGAACATGGAAATGCAATTATTTAAGTAAATATAAACTGCCAAACACCTTTTCTCATTAGCAGTATATAGCAGTCTTGTGACTTCTATCAGTGTCCAACTGAGCACTGGTTAAGGTTATAAGAGGAATTTTCATTCTCCTCTGACTGTCCTATGAGGCTGACCCTCTGTCTGGACATCACTAACTGGCCCTGTGCTGATCACACATACACCCCCCCCCCCCCCCCAAAAAAAAAAATGTTTTTGGAATACACACCAAATAGAGCATGTGCAGACTTGCCACTGCTGCTAACTATGGCAGATGGATTAGGGACAGTACAAAAAGAGGAGGACCAGAGAAACAGGCTCAAACAACCTTTTTACACAAAGCAGAGGATTAACCCCTTAGGTTCCAAAGAGTATAGCAAGCACGCTTTACTCCATTTACAGACTGATTTTACTGTTGTGGGCTTAATAACACTTTAAAAGAGAAGTATTTCCAAAGCTTTTTTGGCTGCATTTCTCCAGTGGATCACAAGAGTGCAGTTCATTCTGTACTCCTGTGGCCTGTTTTCAGTCGACAGCGGAATGAAGCCTGATGTTGGCTGATGTCACTCAGCCGGCCCAGGCTGGGAAAAGATCCTGACTTCAAAGTTGAGATACATCACAGGGTCTGGAGGGGCACCTGGCTCAGCCTCTCAGCAAGCCTGAGCCAACCGCTCCCTCCACTTCCACAGCCCAGCGCTCCAGTGAGCGGTGATGGGGGGGGGGGGGGGACGGTGTCTGACAGTCACACTGCTCAGAGTGGCTGTGAGAACTCAACAATCAGGGGTCATGTGCTCACTGAGTTCTCACATTTATAGCCAGCAGGGGACAAATGCAGCATCTACCTAGGTAAGTATAGTTGGGGGGAAATAAGTCGACAGAAAAGTGATTTTGAACATGGCATGGTTGTTGGTACCAGATGGGCTGGTCTGAGTATTTTAAAAACTGCTAATCTACTGGGAGTTTCACACACAACCATTTCTAGGGAAATCCTGACTCATCAGACCAGGCAACATTTTTCTGATCTTCTATTGTCCAATTTTGGTAAGCATGTGCAAATTGTAGCCTATTCTTAGCCAACAGGAGCGGCACCCGGTGTGGTCTTCTGCTGCTGTAGCCCATCTGCTTCAAGGTTGGACATGTGTGTTCAGAGATGGTATTCTGCATACCTTGGTTATAACAAGTGGTTATTTGAGTTACTGTTGCCATTCTATCATCTCGGACCAATCTGCCCACTCTCCTCTGACATCAACAAGGCCTTTTCGTCCACACAACTACTGCTCAATGGATATTTTCCCTTTTTCAGACCATTCTCTGTAAACCTTAGAGATGGTTGTGTGTGGAAATCCCAGTAGATCAGAAGTTTTTGAAATACTCAGACCAGCCCGTTATAGCCGCTAGCAGTAATCATTGTGTTCTCTCAGCCAGGAAGGCTTCCTGCAGGCACAACACAACAGCGCTATGGAAGAGATTCAGTGTTGATGGAGAAATAGAGCAGTTTTTTTTACATCCACCCGTGGAGGAAGGATAGGAAATGGCATAATCTATGGTCTGCCTGAGTGCAGGTCACTTTCTTCATGAAAGGTATTTTATAAACTGATGAAAGAGATAAAAAATTTTTACTGCTGAACTTTAGTGACATTGAGATTTTTCTTTATAAATAGGTGAAACTGATATACAGATTATTATTCCCACAAAAAGAGCAAAATCAATTTATAAAGAGGATCCTTCTGTTGTGTACCAACCACATGTAGAGCAGTGTCTGCAAAAAAAAAACCTTGTGTTTGAATACATGCTTTTCTGATGGGGGAACAGTTCATAATGGGGAACTGCTGGCTTGGCCACTATGGTAAACAGGCATTTGTATTGATGTTATTGTGTTGCAAATCTGTCTTCATTGTGGAGCACTGGTATGTATCAATCTGTTTTCTGTATACCAAACACTGGGAAATTTACAGTAATACTGTAATATTTTTTGTTTACAATGGGTCCTAAAAGTGGACCTGAACGCAAAAAAGTCAGGATTTGCTACTTTGTGGAAACATTTGGAAATGGTAATTGCACCCCTGCACTACCCTAAAACAAAGCTATTGTCTCCTGAGAAATAGTAGTGCACTTTACTGCAGTTGCCTAGGCACTGCTGTGTGTACAACCTGAAAGCTATAAATCTGCAGTGTGAAATCATATAAGGCACTTCTACCTATGACTGCTGGTCTCACCAGCTTTGGAGTGAAGTTTGGAAACGTTACCTCTGTGCTGCTCACTGTTGTTCTTGCTGGAGAGGAAGCTGTACCTGAGGACCTGCAGTATAAGAAGCTCCCTGCTTCTACTTCAGTCATTCTGTTGACCTGTTATTTGTTTCATCATTCCCCCTCAATCATCACATCACCAGTAATCAGGTGGCAGACTTGACATGAGGAAGCAAAGCCCTGCCTCAACCAGCATGGTTGCTCCAACACAAATATAACATGCAGAACAAAGCACAGTAAGTCAGTAACATGGAAACAATCAGCTGAAAAGACACCATAAACAACACTGGTGACTAGTCCTTTGTCTGCTGCTTGTTTGTTTTTACTGAACAGCTTTCACAGTTCAGTTCCTTTTCAAAGTGAACCTGTAAGCATGAAAGTACAGAAGCAACTCCAGCCCCAGCCTCTCACTGGCTGTGACTGACAGCAGCAGGAACCAATGGCTCCCGCTGCTGCGTCTGAGCCAATGAGGAGAGAGAACCGGGAGAGTCGCTGCTCTTGGGAACATCGCTATTAGGAGGGGCTGAGGGGGAGCTGCACACCAAAGACTGAAGGTTGAATGCATGAAGGTTAAAAAAAAAAAAAAAAAAAAAAAAAAAAAAAAAAAACACACAACATTCAGCCTTTAGAAACACTTTAAAGTGTTGCTAAACCCAGAACAGTAGAACAGTAAAAGCAGTCTGTATATGAAGTAAATTCTGTCCAGACAGAGGGTCAGAGATTATGCAGCCTCATAGGAGAGAATGAAAACTCCAACAAGCATTAACCAGTGCTCTGTTGGACACTGACAGAAGTCACAAGACTGCTCTAACTGCTGAGGAGAAAGGTATTTAGCAGTAATTTGTATTGCATTCCTCTAATTGGGCTGCCAAAAAAACATACCTGCTGAAATCTCTTCAAATGGAGGGTCAGTATAGAAGGCGGAGCAGAGACCAACATTTGTTTCTTGGCATTCGTGTAAACAAACTTCTTCTCTATGGAGAAAAGACAGAAAATCATCTTACATAAGTTGTACCTGTATCTACAGTTGTATTTCCACTCCAAAGTGCAGAAATTACACAGGATCTCTTAGCTCTGAAAAACAGGGGGCGGGGCGCTGAAGTTACCTCAGTGAGGAGAATTCAGAGTTGAATGGGGGGGAGAGACACCCACACCGCTTCTACACAGCTCACAGAAACAGCTGAGGCTGTTAGTCTGCTGGATGCCCCTCCCCTGTCACCATTTTTCTCTTGGTGTCAGGAAAACTCGAAAGTGACTCATGCTGATAGCTGATAGAGGAATGAGTCAGCAGACAGCAATGAAATTTAGTGATCTAGATTGAGACAAGTGCACACTATAGAGCAGTGATGGCAAACCTTTTAGAGACTGAGTGCCCAAACTGCAACACTTATTTATCGCAAAGTGCCAACACTGCAATTAAACCTGAATACTGAGGTTTTAGTTTAGAAAAAAACAACCCATACATTTACATCTTTTGTCTTAAAAGAAAAAACACACAAACAGAGCTTCCACTAACCACCACCACAAGGGGACAAAGTTCCACTGACCACCAGCACAAGGGGGCAAAGTTCCACAGACCACCAGCACAAGGGGGCAAAGTTCCACTGACCACCAGCACAAGGGGGCAAAGTTCCACTGACCACCAGCACAAGGGGGCAAAGTTCCACTGACCACCAGCACAAGGGGGCAAAGTTCCACTGACCACCAGCACAAGGGGGCAAAGTTCCACTGACCACCAGCACAAGGGGGCAAAGTTCCACTGACCACCAGCACAAGGGGGCAAAGTTCCACTGACCACCAGCACAAGGGGGCAAAGTTCCACTGACCACCAGCACAAGGGGGCAAAGTTCCACTGACCACCAGCACAAGGGGGCAAAGTTCCACTGACCACCAGCACAAGGGGGCAAAGTTCCACTGACCACCAGCACAAGGGGGCAAAGTTCCACTGACCACCAGCACAAGGGGGCAAAGTTCCACTGACCACCAGCACAAGGGAGCAAAGTTCCACTGACCACCAGCACAAGGGAGCAAAGTTCCACTGACCACCAGCACAAGGGGGCAAAGTTCCACTGACCACCAACACAAGGGGCAAAGTTCCACTGACCACCAACACAAGAGGGCAAAGTTCCACTGACCATCAGCACAAGGGAGCAAAGTTCCACTGACCACCAGCACAAGGGGGCAAAGTTCCATTGACCACCAGTGCAAGCTAACATCTTGTATTAATAAAATAAAAACAAATGTATTAAAACTCACAGCCAGTCCAATATATATATATCTCTTTGGCAGCTCACTGACCAGCCATGCGAAAGCTCGGACGAGTTGTGGCTAATGAGTCTTGGCACGTGATGTCATCGCTTGGCACCGCTACTCCTTTCCTACCATGCGCATTGGCCGCTATGTGCGCTGTGATCCGATGCTCGGCTGCTGGGGTGATTTGGCTCGTGTGCCAACAGAGAGGGCTCTGCGTGCCCACTGCGGCACACCTACCATAGGTTCGCCACCAATGCTATAGAGGGATATGCTGTGTTCATATTTCATGCCCGAGGTTTACAAGCTCTTTAACTCTGTCATACTCTCTTCATGGAGAAAATCAGGTTTGGGCTTTTATAAACTTTAAACTCTTGCAGCTTTTAAAGGTGCACTCTGAGCGTGAGACAGAAGGTGTGGATGAGGACCTCTGCAAGGGTTAACTGCTCATTTTGCTTGTGCAATGATGAATAAGCTCAATTACTTTCCTTATTCTGCACTCTCCACCTGCAACTCTTCTGTCAGGTGTCCTTGGATGTGTTTGGGCCTTCGGCATCTTCATGTACAATGCTTGGCCACTGGTCTTGAACTTAACATGATGACACAGAAGAGCTGCAGCCGGTCAGGTAGCGAAGAGAAGTAGCTTGGGGGGACAGGACAAATACCACGGAGGATGCTTGCTGGATCAAGAATTAGGAAAGTATTTCACCTGCCAATCCCCCTAGACAAAACGAACAGTTAATCCTTGCAGTGCAGAGAGGGACCCAGTGCAAGGGGTTAACTTTCGCTTCTAAAAAGGAAACTGACATGAAAATCTGAAAAAGTCCAAATGCCTTCCTACGTAGTTTGCCCATGGCCTACATTAACAAAAACAAACTCGCTAATTGCTCATAGCTGCAGCCAGTTGCACAGCCTACATAAAATCTTACAGGCTCAAGAATCACATTTTGACTGCTACTAAAAATCCTAACATCAGAAGTGTGCAATATAAGAACTTTCATTTCCTACCTTTATTGTTATGTTTCATTGTCTTGACCTGTCGCTGTGTACATGTATTACACAGCAGTTGGTTATTGCCCAGCAGGTCCTCCTTGCGGGTAAACTGATAGAGACAACTGAGGACTGACCACTCATCCAGCTGAAGTTCCTTTCGGTCCGCAAGGGTGCAAAAGGCGGTTCTGGGGTCTTCATTCACCACTTCGTAGATCTTTGTAGTGTGCGTTTCATCTATAATTTGAATTTCAATATCATTAGGCTCAAGGTCTGAGCTCAGATTTAGCCTTTCTAGGTCTGAACTCAAATTAAGCCGATTTAGGTTTTCTGTTAGCTGGCTGTCAAATGCATTATGTTTTGCCTGAGGACTCTCAGACCTCTCCTCTTGCATCTCATCAGTATCTATGTTGGTCTGTCTGATATCTCCATTTTCCAGAACAGCAGTCACTTCATTGCTGGGCTGACCCTCAGTTTCCAGACTAGGCTCAGTCTTATGTACGCTTCTCCGATTCAGATCAGCACCATTTTCCTGATCTTCTGTCACAGAATTATGTTGGCTTTCCAGGATATAAGAGCTAGCCTCAGTATTATTTTCTGGGTTTGTCTGGCATGGTTCTTTGTTTTCCAAATGTCCTAGATCTTCCTCTTTATTTTCCATATATACTACTTCACTGGTTATACTGGAAGACAGTCCATTTGTTGAGGTCTCATCTTGCTGCCTACAGTTATTATCCGGCACATTGTTATTGTCAGGGATAAAGCCTTCATCGTCAGTATTGCTCATGTTCTGATCATTCAGCAGCAGGGTCTTATCTTGTAACTTCTGCTGTCGCCGCTGGGTCTGTGGAATGGTAACAGATTTCAATCAAAAAGGTACTAATATAGGTGATAGAAGAGCAGTAGAACCGGAGAACACTCACAAAGTGCATAGTCAGTATTATTAAAAACACTTCTACAAGAAAAAAGGAAAGAAAGAAATACTGCTACACTAATACCTATTCACTTTTACCTCTTTCCAGCTGCTGGGAGATGGCCCGTTAACAGTTTGTACCAAAAGGAAGCTTACATGGTCTTTCTGGCCACGTGATCACTGTGGTTGGCTGTTACAGTGACTGCGAGCCCATCCCACTGGCTCCTGATGTGCTGTGGGTGCCAACCGAAAAATGCAAAATGCACCCAGCACAGAACAACAGCACCAGCTTGGCATTAAAACCAACACCACTGTGCTGCTACATATATGTGTACAGCTCTTCTGCAGCTAGCAAGAACTAGCATTTCCAGGTATGTGGGAACATGTGACCTGCTCCCCTGTAGCAGTGCCTGGACCTGCAGCCAATCGCTAGGTCTGACCACCGATCACCCAGGTCTGGGTCCAGCTGATTTCAGTGCTAGTTTTAACTGAGGAAGGTGACCATGCCTTTCCAGGCAGTTTCCTTATCTGCTCAGCCGATACCTGGTTCTGTCACTCGCTTCAATATTGTAAGCTGAATTTGCAGTTACATTAGGACTACTATGCCAACAGTAGACAAGGAAAGTGAGTGCCTAGAGCAGCATGAAAATTCTATCACATACCAAGCAGTACACCTCAGAAATTCTGAAACCTGAAGTTCATTTTATGCAAATGCAAACTTCAGCTTCTGACACTGAGCTCCTTCCCATCATTTACTGTAGGTCTGTAATTATGATGGGTAGACTCACTGCCCAACAGTGATTCATGGCAGGCATTAGGGCTGAACTACCAACTACTGGTGTTTATCATAATCTGAACACAACTGCACAGTATCAGGGTTGTGTATATTAATGGTGGGGTGACTTCGGACATATGCCAGAAGCTAGAGGTTACCAGAAAGTAGGTCTATATCTATATTTAAGTCTATATGCTTCCCCCTTTCCAGAAATCCAGACAATATTCAGACCGGTTAGACCAGGGGTTGGCAAACTTTTTGACTTGAGGGCCGCAATGGGTTCATATATTGGACCCGGGGGCCGGACCAAGAGTAGATGAATGATGTGTATGTGTCATCCATAGTAAGTATAGTAATATTCCCCCATAGTAAGCATAGTAATTAATCCCCCCTATAGTAAATCATCCCCCATAGTAATTCATCCCCCATATAGTAATTCATTCCCCCCTATAGTAATTCATCCCCCCCATATAGTAATTCATCCCCATAGTAATTCATCCCCCATATAGTAATTCATCCCCCATAGTAATTCATCCCCCATATAGTAATTCATCCCCCATATAGTAATTCATCCCCCATAGTAATTCATCCCCCATATAGTAATTCATTCCCCATATTAATTCATCCCCCATATTAAGTCCCCAAGTCCCCCTGTGTCAATTCACTTACCTTTGCTCCGCGCGTTCCTCTTGCCGTGTTCCCGCGCCGTTCCGGTGTAGCATGAAAATCTGTCTCCTATGAGGATCTGTCCCTCTCGACGTATCTGCGCATGTGCCAGTTTCAGGCATTAGCAGCCGATCGGCGATCTCTGGCACATGCGCAGATACGTCGAGGGGGACAGATCCTCATAGGAGACAGATTTTCATGCTACACCGGTCTTCAGGGCGGACTGTGAGAGGAGCCTAGCGGGAGCCTAGCTCTGCGGGCCGGATTAAAAGGTCCGCCGGGCCGTAGTTTGCCCATTGCTGGGTTAGACAGTTTATGAAAAAAAAAATAATACACCGTTCAAAACCATGGATTTCCTGTTAGTGTGACACCATGTGAATGCAATGCAGGCTGAATGATACTGAGCGTCAATGAACCTGGAAGGTTAAGCATGTCTATTGGTGAAAAGATATTACTGATTAAAAAAAAAAAATGTGCCTGGAGTTAGGCTTTAAGTAATACCAATAAAAAAGTAGCTGCTAAATTATTCAACTTCTGTTCCAGAACAACACATATGAGTTGATTTACTAAAACTGGAGAGAGCAGCCTTATATGGTAGCCAATCAGCTTCTATCATCAGCTTGTTAAATTAAACTTTGACAAAAAAAAAAAAACTGTAAGCGGATTGGTTTCTATGCAGAGCTGAACCAGATTCTCCACTCCATTCAGTTTTATGCAGGCCATAGACAGGTTGTTTATCGGCCGAATTTTCGTCCGCACAAAAAAAAAATCGGCTGATATTCACGCCGTTAGTGGGGCAATACCGTCAGCAGTTTTTTCGCGGATCGGATCTTCTCGTTTACTTTTATTGGTCATGCTGGAAAATCCAGCTTCGCTGCCAGCAACAACCGATTTTTCATTTATCGGCCGAAAATTCGGCCAATAAACAACCTGCCTATGGCCAGCCTTAATAAGTCAACCCCATAGGTATCTCATTACTTTTCTTGCCCAATGTGGAAAGCCTTTCACCTTTGAGTTATACCGCTGTCTACAGGTGCATTAAACACTGGAAAAAAAAAAAACAGAACAAAAAAAAAAAAAAAAAAAACTAGGCCAGCCTATGATAACCCCTCCTATTACCAGCATGCCTCATTTTATTGCCATTGTTCAAGATGATGGATGTCCAACTAACCTATTTTTGCTATGTATTTCTTGAAGAGTGTTTTCATACTCCAAGGTTTTTCTTTTTAAATCAGGGCTCTTTTCTACATCCCTGCTAGTCCCTTCCATTAAAGTGTTACTAAACCCAGGACCCTGCATTCACTCTATCTGGTCTCCCACAGTACACAGAACATGGAAATGCAATTATTTTAGTAAATATAAACTGCTAAATACCTTTTCCCATCAGCAGTTAGAGCAGTCTTGTGATTTCTATCAGTGTTCAGGAGAGCACTGGTTAAAACTTGTAGGAGGAGTTTTCTTTGTCTTCTAGGAGGATGCAGAATCCCAGACCTCTGTCTGGACAGTGTTGATTGACCCTGTGCTGATCACATGCACTCTCCCAAAAAAGAAAAAAAAACCTCTCTAGCAATGCACACCAAACTGAGCATGTGCAGAGTGACTCCATACGATATGTTTTATCAGGAGATAAGAGGGGGATACTGGAAGAAGGGGAGGATCAGAGAAATCAGGATCAAACAGCATTTTTACACAATGGAGAGGATTAACAAATAGGTTGCACAGTGAGTATAACAAGCATGCTTTACTGCATATATAGACTGATTTTACTGTTGCGCACTTAGTAACACTTTAAAGCTATCCAGCCTAGCTGTCCTTAACCTTGCTTTTGGAGTGCCATGCCAGGACCCCACTGCAGTGGACTTTTTGGAGGTATCCTAGTAAAAGTCAGCCAGAGGTGCTTGCCAGGACCAGTTGCTGACATTGCCTCAGCTACTGCCCGGTCTCTGAGAACTCACTTTGTGAGTAAGCCGATCAGCCCAAGAAGTGGTAGCTACCTAAAGTACATAGGTAGCTGTGCGAATTTAAAATTCCCACAAATGTTGCCTTTAAAATTCCAAACAGTTTTGCCACAAAATGAGTAAACGCTGTAAGACTGGGTGTAGACATCATCCACTGGGTGGAGTGCCCCATACTCTCTTTCCTGCCAATCAGCATCGAGGAAGCATCTCCCCGCTCTTGCTCCTGCTTGCAAAGAACCACGTGGAACTTTGATCCGTTTTTGGTGTTCGCCTATAGTTACTGGTAAACTGGCCATTTGACTCTCACCTGCTACCAGCTGTCCAGGTTTTGTTGCCTCTTAGACTAAGTTTTAATGCCTCACAATTGCAACATATTTGATTCTAGACTGGTGGGTAAGGGGTGTTGGAGACAACCCCTCTGTTTCATCATCAGAGTCCTCTTTAGCTCAGTCAGGTGACACTTGGTTTCTCTGTTCTTTCGGCTGAGGATTTTACTGAAGGTATGCAAGACTTTATGGCCCAAATCATTTATTAGCCACATCTGACCACAGAGGCAACAAGCACACTCCTGCATCTTCTCTCCCTAGTTCGGTATCTGATTTACCCATAGCCTTGATGGCTTCTAAACCATCAGCCACTAATACTCTGTCTGCTTCTGAGTTACTCCAGCCTTTGACTGATAAGCTTTCTCCTGAGGATTCAGAGTCCACAGATATTACTAAAAAATTAAAAGCTTGATTCAGTGTGCATTACACTACTCAAACTATAGGCTTGGCCTTTTGTTTCTATAAGTGGTGTTTCCAGTCTTGGGAACTTGAGAACCCCTAAGGCCTCATAAAAGTTACACTCGTTGCACAACCAGTGTCAGATTGCGAGGGAGTGCGGCGCGTGATCCTGGGAGGACGTCATATGATGCCCTCCCAAGATAATAGGGATCCCGCCTGACCGTAATATTACACTAGGCTGGGTGATAAGGCATTAACGAACATGAAAGAAAACATCACTTCCTGGTGACAGTTAATATCACAACCTGCCCCTACAGTTATAAAACTTTGGGATTTTAATTTATTTATGGGTGGATAGAGTTTAGCCTATCCAGCATTTTTTACAATGGCAAGACATCAAGCAGGAACTTCTCATTTTAATGTATGATTTTTGTTTTCATTTTAAACATTTCACTTTAAAGTGACTGTAAAGCTTACAATTGTTTTTCTTAAAAAAAAAGAAAAAAAAAAAAAAAAACCCAACAAATCATGTTACACTTACCTGCTCTGTGCAATGTACTGCACTGGGTGGCCGCAAACTTGCTCTTCTGGAGGTCCCCTGCTGGTGCTCTAGGCTCTTCCTATTTTTGGTGCGCCCCCATAAGAAACTGCTTCCTATGACGGCACACATGCAGACTTGCTTCCGAGCCAGGATGTGTGCATCTATTGACACACAAAGCCCGGCTCGGCCCACCCCTTCACCCCACTTCACGCTCTTTGCTGACAGGATTTGTCTGACAGCAGCAGGAGCTCTTCTGCTGCTCTCAGCCAAGCTTGTGAGAGAAGACAGAAGACTAGCAGACATGGATGGCACTGGATCGATACAGGACTCAAGTAAGTATTTGGTGGCAGGTGGGGTGGAAGAAACTGCAACTGGAAGGTATTTACCTTAATACATAGAATGCATTAAGATAAAAAACCTTTTTGACTTTAAACCCACATTAACACAGCAGTGTACCTTGGCTTGTTTTTTGGCTTGCTTCTTTGCTTTCTTTTGAAGGTGTTTACTCGGCCCTGAAGGAAGATCATTCCTGTCTTTTACATAACTGTCATTGTCACTTTCCTCTTCATCGTTTTTTTCATTGACCGCTTTTGCTGATTTTGCAGTACTTTTCTTGGCAGGCTGAAATAAAAGCAAATTATAAATGACAGTATGTCACACAGGCTTATAGGATAAGTTAGACATCTCTGGTCAATAATGGACAGATGAGTCTTTTTTTTAATAGATGGAAACTGTTGTATGAATAACACTTTGACAAAATTAACATTTTATGCATTTCCTAAACAGGAGCTAAACTCAAAAAGTGAAAAATTGCTATGGTCAAGAGTACATATAAAATGTTAATTGTGACTAAGAAGTAGCCTGATAAAATGATCTTTTGTCTCACATTCCTCCAGAAAAAGAGCACTTGCAGACACTCATATGCCTATAGTTTCATAACTGTGCAAATGCAGTGCGAGCTCTAAGGCACTGCTGCCTCTAACTTCTAGTCTCAGGAGATTTGGCATAACATTTGCTGATGCTACTATTTTGCAGTTTTACCAAAATGTTTTTTGTGTATTAAAGAATTTGTTTCTATGTGTAGTGTGTAATTATGTATGTACAGTATACATGTAGGGGAGCCGTGTCTGCTTGTTGAGTATGTATGCTGTCTTTCCTTCTTACAAGGCCTACGCAGTCCTTTTACAATCCTTCTGGTCTCAGACCTACAACCATTCACTGTACACAGTAAAATCTGAGAGGACTTTCTGCTTTATATATATATAATATATATCCTAATAATAATTCTAATAAGATTCTATATAACAAACCCTCTCATTTGTAAAAATGGTACCAAATGTGAACGTATAATAAAATAAAAGGGTAATAGATTAAAAACCTTCTTACCATGTCATCCAAGACAGGAAGTGAGAGATCGAGAAAAGGCTCATGAACTAAAGATACCTTAATAGAGGGAAGCATAAAGAAATATTAATTACTGAAGAACTTGTTATAGAACATTCATAAAAAGACCCAAAGACACTGTGCAGTCACTGCAGATCACAGCAGCAGTTTCTTAGGACAGGACCTCAGCACTAAATCATCCTGGAGATGTTTCTACATGCCATTAGTTTGGACTTCAAGTAAAGACCTTTTTTATCTACATCCCCTGTGCAGAGAACCCTGTACTGGAAAGGAGTAGAATAGATGATCATTTCACATGGATATGCCCTGTAAAATGGGCCTTTTATTAAGTAAAATGCAGCTCTGTTTGTTTACCATTAACATGGCCAAGCAAGTAATGAAAAGCCCATTTTACCCTCAGTCAGTATTGAGAAGTGCTAGATCTTCTTTAAAGAGAACCTGTCAGCCATTTAAAGTGCGTTTTAAACCACTGCTGATAGGTACGCTTATGTTGCACAACCCTGTGTCTCTTCTGCAATAAAATCTCCTCTTTTGCCTGCCAGCAATGTTTTTAATGATCTGGGATTGTGCAGCTCATTGTAGATTCTTGGCATACCTTGGTGATGAGATGAATTAACTCCTCTATGTGCAGGAGTTACAGTATCCAGGGCTCAGCATATAAAGATGGCCAAAGATGCTGAACCTGGATGGAGATCGGTAGAATAAGTCAGGGCAGCAGCACAGCGCCCTTTGCAGCATTAAAAGGGGTCTCTTTCACAGGTTGGTCTGTCCTAATGTACAAATATGCTGTGCATATTACTAATGTATATTTAGTTTTGCTTTTAAATTTGAAAGGCCTTCATGAAGAGCCGCCAATACAAGATACCAGCTTCGAACTTTGCAGGCCAGAGAAACCTTATATGCCTCTCTGAAACATGTTTCATTTGATTAAAGAGGAAGTAATCTTACTTTAGGGCTATGCTATGCCCACTGCTATCCAACAGTTCAATGACAGACATCTGACTTACCAATGAGGCATTCCCATAGGAATAGGTAATGACGGCTAACTCACTCTTTTATGCTTTTTACAATAACAATGATTGCTTTTCTAAGACCACTATCATTTCTAAACAGGAACATAATTTGGGCACTCCCTGTACTGAAAAAGCCAGGCGTAAGGCCTTGAGTATTATGTACTCCTGTTCCCACTGTGTAAACCATTGGGAGCTATACCAAAAATCGATCCACCATTGGTATCTCACACCATAAAAAACTTTTAAAATTTTACCCCTCTCAAACAGCCTTCTGTTGGAAGAACTGTGGAGAAATTGGCTCTTTAGATCACACTTTATGGCAATTTTAATTCTTAAGATCCTTCTGGAACAAACTTTTTCATATAGTCCCTGATATTGTAGGATCTTCTGTGTCCCCAGACCCTGCCTTAGCTTTCCTCCATTTCTTTATACACGTCTTACCCCCCCCCCCAACCAAAGTCAGAGTAGTAATCATACATCTATTCTTAGCAGCAAAGCATACAATTGCCAAACAATGGAACGCACACGAATCCCCCTCTATCCTACACACTATATCCTCACTTAACCTCCAATGCGAGATGGAAAAACTGCTATCAATTACCAATCTAACATTTAGCAAATTCTGTACAATGTCATCTTTATGGCTATTTAATTCTAGATGTACGATCAAGATCTGATGACGTCTTTGTATATAGCTTGTGATTCCTTCCTTGTTTTTGTTCTCAAATCATTGCTGCCCCAGCAGCTCTATTGTGACTGGTTGCTGTTCCTCTCCTTTATCCCCCCCCCCCCCCGCTAGTTCCCCACCTCTCCCTTCCCTGTGTTTACCTATTCCTCTTGCCCCTCCCTCTGGTGGAGAGATTGTTTCTTCTAAGGTATAGTTATTTGAGCTAATTCGCTTTGTAACAATTGTTGGGCAATCGGTCCATTTGTAAGCCTTAAGATCTTATATGATTTCTCCATATGATTTAAACCATTCACTATATTTGTTTCTGTACTATTTTTGAAACATTTCTAATAAATAAATATTGAAATAAAAAGCAATGGCATCCACCCACTCCTATAAAGAACTTATAAATGGTTACGACAAATAAGTGTGCTTTGATGGGATCTTTTCAGCAAAATCTATACATGGTTTAAAAAGAGAAAAGTGAACATACTGTGTGACAGGTCTCACACATTATTGTACTTGTCAGTTCTCCCTCCAAATAAGCGGTCCACAAAGTTGGGGATAACTCTTCTTTTTTCACAGTCTAATAAACACAGAGAGAATTAGTGTTACACTATTTATGGTTTTCCATCAACATTATATTGTAAATACCTTCCAGGAAAACTAAAGGCAAAAAATGTGCGCAAAGCTTCCATTTCAGAGAATGTTAAAAAGTCAGGCCACCCAAAACTTGTATTCAGATTTGGTAGATGCTACATAGATAAACCACGGGGCAGTTTCTTACATTTCCCTGGAACGCTGTTGGGGAGAGCTCTATGCTACGTCTGCACACATGCTGAGGACATTATAAGCAGTTCCACTGTTCCTGCTAGATTTCTTTTTGTTTTAGATTTGTTTTACATGATGAATAATACTAGAGGACAGAAACAACCAAAACAGGACAGGAACAGAGTCAGGAATTAGGACAAGGAGTGCTCACTACTAGAGTATCCAAAATAAACAATCCAGTAACTGACCTAACCCACCAAGCACCACATATATGGACCTACCGACCCCACTGTTTAAAAAACCTATTTTTTTTTTTAAAGGTGTATTTCATTATCAAATTCCTATGATTGAAGATTACTAAAATGTTCTGCAAAGATTTTGGTCTGTAATCGGAAAATAATGAACTTGAGGGAAACCCACATAGCAATTATCGAGCTGAAACAATAGCACTTAAAGGGGTCTAGGTATAAAAGGCTCGCTATGCAGATGTCTTAAGCATTTGCAAGGCCACAATGTCTGCCATATTGCTGATAGTATGATTATATCCTATGATCGCCAGCTTCATCTAGTCATGTTGTTATGTTCATAATGTTGTTTTTTTTTTTCTTTTTACAAAAAGAACTATAAAAAAAAATATTACGTCATGGTCACTAAATGACAATCACAGAAGAAAATTGCATTACAAACATTCTTTACACAATCCTCAACAAAAATAGTAACAAAACAAATTTAAAAAACACACGCTCTCTTTTTTAACCAGTGTTAGTTTAAAAATAAACAGTGTGACTGTAATAAAAAGTATACATTTTAATTTGCTAATTTGTCCTGTTAAAATTACATTACATTTTTTTTTTAAATAACAAACATATCTATACACACCTGCTGTGTGCAGTGGTTTTGCACACAGCAGCCGAGATCCTGCTCTTCTCAAGTCCCTCGCGGTGCTCCTGGCTCCTCCCTCCTGTCAGGTGCCCCCCACAGCAAGCAGCTTGCTATAGGGGCACCAGCTGCTCTGCGTCTCCATTCACACTCGGCGCCGCAGCTCAGCCCTGCCCTCACTCTCTTCTCATTGGCTCACTGGCTGTGAGTGACAGTAGTGGGAGGCAATGGCACCCGCTGCTGTCTCAGCCAATGACATGCATTCTTTGCATGAAGGTAAAAAACCTTCTGTTTTCAACAGTACCCCCAGCCCCCTCAATACGTACCCCGAGTCTCATCGCGATCCAGCGTTGTGAATGACAGCTGTCCTCAGCTGTCCTGGGTCTCTGCCTCCTCACTGGCTGAGATAGCAAGCGGGAGCCATTGGTTCCCGCTGCTGTCAATCACAGCCAGTTAGCCAATAAGGGGAGAGGGGGCAGGGCCAAGCCACGGCTACATGTGAATGGACAAATGGAGCAGCGGGTGCCCATAGCAAGCTGCTTGCTATGGGGGCACCAGACAGACAGGAGGAACCAGGAGAGCCTGCGGGGGGACCCAAAAAGAGGAGGATGCAGGCTGCTCTGTGCAAAACCACTGCACACAGTATAGACATGTTTGTTATTTTACAACAAAAAAAAAAACTTGAGAATCGATATAACAGATGAGTTCACCTGTCATAATATGTTACAGCCATATTCAGGGTGTAACACTTAGCATGTTAATAGATAAGCAGCCCCGACACCCCTCCCCAAGTCCCTGTTGTAACAATGGGTTGGGATCTTCTCCCCATACCCGATGTCACAATTTTAAAACCTGGCCGTGTCATTCATTTACAGAGTTCTGTGAGTCAGACAACTAAACTACCATCAACCATTGCGGCTGACAGCTTGTAGTTTCCAATGAACTACCAAAGCGCTGCTGAGTGCTCTAGTAGTTCATTGATTCTTCCTGCCATTCAGTAACTTTGTGTCCATACAAGGCACTGTCAGACAGCTACACCGACAGTCTGCAAAAGCCCGCCATTGCACCAGTGATCTGTTGATCTCGGGTGCAATGCTTTACAGGCTCCTAATAAAAAAAAACAATATATAAAACACTGCACATTTTTTTACCTGCAAAAAAGACGTGCATTTTTTTAAAAAAAAAATTTTTTAAGCGGGACTTCTCCTTTAAAGCAGTCTACACAAAAAAAAAAAAAAAAAACTGTTCTCCACATATATGCTATCATACCTCTGACAATCTTTTTAACTTCCCTCATCCTCGATCTTCTCTGATGCAGCCTGTAATGTCTTAGAAATCGCTGACGTTACCCTCTAAAATTATATTAAAAAAAAAAAAAAAAAAAAAAAAGGGAAAACATGATGACATAAAACAGCTGATTCATGGTTATTAAATACAAACAAAGAGCAGCGCAAAGATAAAGAAAAAGTTCACAGGGGAACCAGAGAGAGATATCGCTGCAGGGCAACAGGATACAATCCGTGCTGAAAGGTATAACGTGCATAGATATCCAAGTGTGGATGGTGTACACTCCCCTTCACCAAACAAAATCACTGCTGCTCACCTCCGAGGTATAACAATAAGGTCAGACATCGCATTTCCCCTCTGGGGCATATATAATGAAGACTCCAATCAGTCTCGGACGATTTTTATTCCAACTGATCCAAACCGCATACGAAAAAACGCAAAGGCAAAAGAATAGTGCTCTCCGTATGACAAACTTATTAAAATAATAAAAACACACTTACAAAGAAGGCACTTTTACCCAAAGTGCATAACCAAGTGTTTGGAATCACAAAGCATGAATACAAGATAGCAGCGGGTGACACCATAGGCATGACTCCTCCCTCCGTACGCATTACGTCCTAGGGTTGGACTTTGTCAGCGGGAACGGAGCCACGCAATCACCCACACTATTTATGAAGCATCACTGCTGTCATAGTGACAGGGATGGACTCGTAAAAAAAAAAAAAAAGGAAAACACAGCTGGGGCCAGCATGGTGCCTGTATAACGAACAAGAGACTTCACACGCCGCCACAGCTGCATATAATCATTAATAAAAATTCAGGTGTGTTTGCAACATATTCGGTGTCCCCTACAAGCTAATAGCTGCCTGGCACAGATTGGGTGACACCAAAAATAAAAATTACAAAAAAAAGCGTATATGAAAGAATTTTAAAATAAATCCCACGGTTATCTTTTACAAATAAAACAATATTTATAAAAATATCATACTGAGTAACAATCTAAAATAAAACCATTCAAATCAAATTCAATCCAATAGGTGTCAAAACCTTAGTGGTAAAAATCCAAAAAGATTCTCAATATATATATATATATATATATATATATATATATATATATATATCTATCTCTCTCAATTGGCAAGAATAATTACCCCCCCTCCAATGTTGACTCACTTTTTCTGCTCAATCAGAAACAAAAGAAAATGCGGACACTTGGAGGCACAAATCAATGAAATTAAAGAAGCATGAAACTATTTAAAGACACTCAAGAGTTCTCAGTCTTTCTGGTGAACTTAAGACTAAATTGGTTAAATAGGATAAATAAGTACAGGATAAGAAAAGGAAAAAAAATACTAAGAGACTCTGGTGATTATGAAAAGGAATGAAATTTACAATTGGCAGATGATTACTACTCCCGTCTACTATCCACCCTGTCCTTTCCCATTTGATTCTACTGGTTCTCAAGTTAGCTATAATCAGCAAGGAGGTCCTAGTGGGATTTTATCCGCTAGGGACCAATATAGGGCTCCATTCCTAAGGGGAAATTCAACAGGTACCCCTATTCCCAGAAGGGCAGGTGATAACTCTTACCGCACCCTTTGCCAGGGCATTTGAGGACCTGCCAACAGTTCTCTCTCCTATCAGCTCCTGCACACTGCTTTGTGTGGCTGTGTTTAGCCAAACTGCATTTTTTTGTTCATATCAAAAGGATAGAATAAGGACTTACTATGTTAATTTATTAACAATTACCTTACCTTTGTTATGTTGGGCTAACCTGTTTTTGGATAAATATGTGGAAAGTCAGGGAGAGTTTCAGAGCAGGTTATTTGCAAATCTACCAACATTGTAAAATGCAAATCTGTCTAATTATATTTGGAAAGATCTTAAATATTCATGAAGCCCTTATTTATGAGAAATAGCCTTTTTAAATGAGGTGGAGTTTTTACCTATGCAAGAAGGGTAAAAAATGCAATTTTCCCTTAAACAATATAAGTATATGGTAAATGGGTTTAAGACACCTTAAATGTTCATAGTTATACTTGCTTATGGTAAAGAGAATTTCAACGTGGGTTATCGTGTCCCCTTTGTACAAGGATGTTAAAGATTGCAGTTTTGCCATATTAAACAAGACAAGGAGTATCTATTCAACTTTTTAATTGAAATCTATGTATTACAGCTGTTCTAGGCCTAGACCAGTGGTCGGCAAGCCGCGGCTCGCGAGCCACATGCGGCTCTTTACCCACTCTAATGCGGCTCTTCTGTGTGCCGGGCGCATCCGCTCCCCTCCTCCTCTCGGTCGGCCGCTCCCCTGCCTCCTCTCGGTTGGCCGCCCCAAAAGTCCGCGCGGACCTTTTAATCCGGCCCGCGGATGTGGCTGTCAGGATGTGTGTAGGCGGGGCAGCGTGCCGAACGTGAGGGGAGGGGAGCTAGGCTCCTCTCACAGTCCGCCCTGAAGACCCGAACGGCGCGGGGAAAGACAGCGAGAGGCGCGGAACAAAGGTAAGTGAATTGACACAGGGGACTTGGCTTACTAGAAGGGGGGGGGGGAATAGTACTGTGGGGGATGAAATACTATATGAGGGATGAAATACTATATGAGGGGGATGAATTACTATATGAGGGATGAAATACTATATGAGGGATGAAATACTATATGAGGGATGAATTACTATATGAGGGATGAATTACTATATGAGGGATGAATTACTATATGAGGGATGAATTACTATATGAGTGATGAAATACTATATGAGGGATGAATTACTATATGAGGGATGAAATACTATATGAGGGATGAATTACTATATGAGGGATGAAATACTATATGAGGGATGAATTACTATATGAGGGATGAATTACTATATGAGGGATGAATTACTATTGGGGGATGAAAACTATATGGGGGGATGAAATACTATATGAGGGATGAAATACTATATGAGGGATGAATTACTATATGAGGGATGAAATACTATATGAGGGATGAATTACTATATGAGGGATGAATTACTATATGAGGGATGAAATACTATAATGGAGGGATGAAATACTATATGAGGGATGAATTACTATATGAGGGATGAATTACTATATGAGGGATGAAATACTATATGGGGGGATGAATTACTATATGGGGGGATGAATTACTATATGAGGGGATGAATTACTATATGGGGGATGAAATACTATATGGGGGGATGAAATACTATATGGGGGGATGAAATACTATATGAGGGATGAATTACTATATGAGGGATGAAATACTATATGAGGGATGAATTACTATATGAGGGATGATGAAATACTATATGAGGGATGAATTACTATATGGGGGATGAAATACTATATGGGGGATGAAATACTATATGAGGGAATGAAATACTATATGAGGGATGAATTACTATATGAGGGATGAAATACTATATGAGGGATGAAATACTATATGAGGGATGAATTACTATATGAGGGATGAAATACTATATGAGGGATGAAATACTATATGAGGGATGAAATACTATATGAGGGATGAAATACTATATGAGGGATGAATTACTATATGAGGGATGAAATACTATATGAGGGATGAAATACTATATGAGGGATGAATTACTATATGAGGGATGAATACTATATGAGGGATGAATTACTATATGGGGGGATGAAATACTATATGAGGGATGAAATACTATATGGGGGGATGAAATACTATATGAGGGATGAAATACTATATGAGGGATGAATTACTATATGAGGGATGAAATACTATATGAGGGATGAAATACTATATGGGGGGATGAAATACTATATGGGGGGATGAAATACTATATGAGGGATGAAATACTATATGGGGGGATGAAAATTACTATATGAGGGATGAAATACTATATGAGGGATGAAATTACTATATGAGGGATGAAATACTATATGAGGGATGAATTACTATATGGGGGATGAAATACTATACGGGGGATAAATACTATACGGGGGATGAATTACTATACGGGGGATGAAATACTATACGGGGGATGAATTACTTATGGGGGATGAATTATATGGGGGATGAATTACTATATGGGGGATGAATTACTATGGGGGATGAATTACTATATGGGGGATGAATTACTATATGGGGGATGAATTACTATATGGGGGATGAATTAATATGGGGGATGAATTTTAATATGGGGATGAATTGAATTACATATGGGGGATGAATTACACTATGGGGGATGAATTACACTATGGGGGATGAATTACACTATGGGGGATGAATTACTATATGGGGGATGAATTACTATGGGGGATGAATTACTATATGGGAGATGTATTTTCAGTTTTAAAAATGTGGCTCTCAAAATAAATTTCAATCATGGTTTTGGCGAGATTTGGCTCAGTTGAAAAAAAAAGGTTGCCCACCACTGGCCTAGACACATTGTTTGTAACACATACGATCAAACATGCTCATAAAAAACCAACCAATCAGATTGCTCGACACTTTGGTCAATGGGGAAAGGTGAAAAGGTGTATATTACAGAAGGTTTGTTGAGTCATGACAGGAGAAAGTGGGTTCTCTGAAAGTGTCTGACATTGCATGAATATTCTAAGTCTCCTGTCATCTACCTTATCTGTACAGCTAATGTGGGCCACATATGTTGTATGTGACCTTCCCAAGAATTGAAAAAAAGGGAAATAATGACGTGTATTCCACACGGCTTCACTTTACAATAAAAAACGCACAATATGAATGCACAATACAGTCCAGTCATCAAAGAAGCACAGATAAGTATATCTTGATAAGATCCTTATGATGCATGTAGTCCGACGTTGTGCAGAAAAAATGAATAAATTGGCTCTTATTCCTTCTGATGATGTACGTGTGATACGAAACGCGCGTCAAGGAGGAGCCCCTGCTAGCCGTGACGTCAAGCCGCCGGATCAAGGAGGTCCGGCGGCCACTCTTCTATACCAGCTGCATTTAATTCCTCAGGACCACCAGGTGACTATCCCAAGGCCCAGAGTAATATTCAGCTGATCCTGTTTGGAGCCTGTCTGCCATAAGGAACCCCCTGATGTGTTACCTTCCATCACAGAACCCACCTGTTCAGAGCTTCCTTCCATCTACAGCCGGAGTGATCCTTGGTGTATGAGATACAATTGCACAATTTAAATTGTGCTTCGGTGGTGAGTGCGCAATTTATTCATTTTTTCATTTGGGAAGGTCACATACAACATATGTGGCCCACATTAGTTGACATTTAAGTAAGGGATATTGCACCACCTCAAATACTGGTGCAGTCATATATCATCTAGCGCTGCACTATCTATCTTATATTGTCTATTTGAAGGTTCATGGTTTTTCCTTTTTAGTGTATCAGCTGCTGTGTTGGTTAGCGCTCACTGAATCCCTCTCATTATTATACCTTATCTGTACCTCTGTCTTATGCATTGTTTCTAAGCTGATTAAATGCATCTCTGTGGAAAAGAACAGTTGAACTTGTTGCTGCGGGAAAATACATTTATATCAATCATCGTCATCCCCACATGTAATATACGACAACAGATTCTGTATCTTAATTATATCAATCATCATTCTTGTAATATAAGACAACACTGGATATCTATGCACGTTATACCTTTTATCACGGATTGTGTCCTGTTACCCTGCAATGATATCTTTCTTTGGGGTCCCCTGTGAACTTCTGCTTTATATATCTTTGAACTGCACTTTGTATTTATGCTCTTGGGTAATGTGGAACATGCCTTAGTGTTCAGCTTGCATTCAATAGGTTCATTTTATTTATCTTTGTGTGCGCTTTTTTTGTTTTTCTTTTATTTGGATTCATGGTTACTGAATGTAGCTCCAATCAGAATGGACAGAGTCAATATCACAGTCATGAACCACTGAAGGGACAGTCAGCAAGAGCAGTCACCAGTTAGCCATGACTAAGGCCTGACAGCTGAAACACACTGCCTGTTTCACAGCGCTTACATGTCATTTCAATAAAAAATATTGCCATTTGACATTTACCTGAGTGCAAATTGTCCCTTCAGTGGTTCACAGTACAGCCTTTCAGTCTGAGCACGGGGTGGAGCTGAGGATTGAAGGAAGGTAGCAGCACCACTACACTTATCTGCACTATTATAGTCATATCATCACTGCTTTTTTCGAACTCTCAAAAATGTTCTCTATTTTTAAGTAAGGCAGATTTGAGTAACTGGTGGCACAGAAATTTTAGGCTCATCCCCTAGCCTGCTCTGTCTTCCAGTACTTCTAACAATCCAGAGTTGCCTGTTCCTGGTCTAATGATACAGTGGTAGTCAAAACTAAGAAATACCTGTATCTCTTCTCCTCTCATTCCATCTAGAAGGTAGCGGAGAAGCTCCTGGCTGTCTTGCTGCTGATACCCTCTGAATCGGATGGCTCTGGAAAGAAAAGCAATGCAGACACTACTCATACGTTGGCTAAGTAGAAACTACATACTCAAAGCTGTAAGAAATGTAAACTGAAGCCACTAAGAATAATGCAAAGTTTGCATGAAAACCCTGTTATAGGTTAATAACATTTATTCTAATTTATAGGTTTTAATTATAAAAGTGCGTGGAGCCATCACATCTGTCTAGAAACACATTCATAATTTGCTGTTTTACTAGCAGAGGTGCACAATGTTTAAAAATGAATAAAATATGATCCAGCTAGTTTAATAAAGGGTGAAATATGGCACAATGTATATTCTAGATTCAGCTAAACACCAGATTGATAGCCCAAATGCAGCATATGATGAAAAGCCATGATGATTATCACTGAAAGCAATTCTAAACAGTGACAGTGAGACCAGTGAGTTGCTATTGCTATTCAGCCAACTAAAAAATTTTGAACTTCAGACAATAAGATATGAATGATCAACCCATTTACCCCTTTTCCACCAAGGTACATCTATAAATGACAGATCAGCTTTTCAATATTCCTCCTACTGACAGCAACAATGGAGCTCTATTCCTCTTGCTGATAATGATAAGGCACTATTCTTCCCACTAACGTCAATGATGGGGCACTATTTTCCCCACTGACACCAATAATGAAGCACTATTCCTTCCACTGACACCAACAATGGGGCTTTGTTCTTCCCACTGACACCATCTGATGGGGCACTAGATAAATATACAGCAAACTCCTCCTGTGCTTAAAGGAAGTGTACCCTAATGTAAAGCTGCCAACACTCTGAACTGATACCCAAACAGTGTATACAAATAATGAAAAATAGTGCAGCGCTTCCCCAAATAAATATACGAATATGTGTACATATATAAACACACAATACAGTGCCAAAAACAATGTGCCAAGGTCACCTGGGTGACCTATAAAAGTGATATTCACAACAAAACAATGACAAAGACCCCTATGGATATGGGGATAAATAACAAACAAGTGATAGTGCCAAATGTGATCACACTCCAAATTACATATAAACACACTGAATACTCGAATAGTCCATAAATAAATTGATGGGTGCTTCATAATCATGCAACATGCAAATGGTGTTTAAGATCTGTGAAAGTGTCAGCACACTTCTTCCACTGTGGCTACAATGCCTCCTCACCTCCTTCCGGTGACCCCAAAGGGCCAAAAAGCCTTCAGGATCACCCTGGATCCTTTTCAATCCTGGCTGGTATTAATTCACCTGTAGTTCCTCTCCTACAAGTCTCCAAAGTCCCTCAGGAATATGCGGAATATGTATCTCACCAACACAGTGAGCAACAAAAGAGATCCTCCATAGTGCAGTATGTAGTAAGCCAAGATCTCCTTTATTCAATAGAAATCAATTCCACTCACATTTTGTGCAGTCCCCCTTCCTCTCCGATGCATGGGTGTACTGCATAGGAGAGGAACTACAGGTGGATTAATGCCAGCCAGGAATGAAAAGGATCCAGGGTGATCCTGAAGGCTTTTTGGCCCTTTGGGGTCGCCGGAAGGAGGTGAGGAGGCATTGTAGCCACAGTGGAAGAAGTGTGCTGACACTTTCACAGATCTTAAACACCATATGCACATTGCATGATTATATGAAGCACCCATCAATTTATTTATGGACTATTAGAGTATTCAGTGTGTTTATATGTGATTTGGAGTGTGATCACACTTGGCACTTATCACTTGTTTGTTATTTATCCCCGTATCCATAGGGGTCTTTGTCATTGTTTTGTTGTGAATATCACTTTTATAGGTCACCCAGCTGACCCTGGCACATTGTTTTTGGCACTGTATTGTGTGTTTATAGATGTACACATATTCGTATATTTTATTTATTTGGGGAAGCGCTGCACCATTTTTCATTATCTGATGGGGCACTATTCTTCCCACTGACATAAACTGATAGAGAGCTATTCCGCCCAGTGACACCAACGATGGGGCACTATTCTTCCCACTGACGTTAACAATGGAGCACTATTCCTCCCATTGACATCAACCAAAGGTGTCATGAAAATTCTTTTTTTTTAACCAATGACCACAAAGCCTGTAGCATTATTTACTTACGGAGGCATTTTTTATTCCCACTGGACACAGCCTGGCCCTCCAAAAGGTCTGAACTGGCCCTCTAGAAAGTCTAGAGGAAATGAAACTTGCCCTCTGTATATATTGTGCAGTAACACCATCATTAAGCTCTCTGATAACGTCAACTCAATAACAAGTGTCACAGTCCTGGTACATACTCACTTTTTACAGACCTGAGAGAAGAGCTCTTTAGGGGTTACAACCCCTTTCTTAGTCTCCTGCATCTCAGTAAGGAATTGCCACATTGCCAAGGTAAGTGGCCCAGGCTGCTGCTCCAGGGTCACTTCTCGTGGTGTCTGAAATAAATGTATCATACAAAAGGCTTAAAAACAAGTCTTTAAAATGTATCTATGTAAAACCAAAACCTTTTTTCTTTAGTTTTGGATAGAGTGTGGAAGTATAAAAACACCCATCAGGTTTTATTGCTATGTCCCTGCTGGGGAGATTCATTACCCCCAACAGCCCGGTGACCATTGTCATGAGACAGAAACTGATGGGAAATCCAAAATTTGCTGGGTTTTTGGGACAGGCAGTGAAGGAAAATCTCCTTGACAAAAAATTGACAGAGGCTGCCAGGTAATAACCACCCTTTATACAGGGGTGTGGAAATTTTTGAAAAAAAAACTACTTGACCAGGAACTAAATCAGTGTCCCAATCTACTTGTCCTGATAAACCTAAAGTCCTGATAAAAAAAGAATTAATTTTAACCAAAGCGTATTTAAATCTGCTTCAAGTAATGTATGGGGCTTTTAAAAACAAAAAGGGGCTTTATGGCAACTTAAAACGTTTAATATATTTAACATTGCACTGTTTATCTCCTCCTCACCTCCCTGCCTGTCTCCAGCACCGCACCCAGGGACAGCAGGGAGGGGAGAGACCTTGCAGTGTCAGGAAAGGGGAGTGTCGGGCTTATCCTTTATCCCTTTTGCTGCCAGAGCTGTTTTTGCTTTTTTTGCACATGTTTAAAAAATCATTGAAGCCCTGAAGATTACACAAAACTTCAAAACATTATATATTTTCTGAAATCAGAGACCCTAGAGAACAAAAATTATTATTATTCAGTATTTATATAGCGCTAAAAGGTTTGCTCAGCGCTGTACATTATAGTGGGGGACAGAACATGAGACAATACAGTAACAAAACAAAAACACGAGGGGTTCGAGGGCCCTGCTCTTTCGAGCTTACAATCTAGGAGGGAGGGGATAGTGGTACAGGAGGAAGTGGCTGTGGGGGATAATAGTGGTAGTTCCAATTTTTTATGTCACATGATATTATCACAAAGGTCTAGGAAGCGCAAAATTTCAGTAAAATATACACTTAAGTTAATTTTAGGATACAAAAAGCAATAAAATTATCCAATTTTTTTGTAAAATATAAAAAAACGAGGTTGCATCGAGTAAATAGATATTCAACATGTCAAACCTTAAATTTGCATGCGCTCGTGAAATGGCAACAAACTTTAGTACCTATATTTTCTATAGGTGATGATTTTAAAGTCCCTTATAAGTCATCAGTTTAGCATTACGGAGGAGGTCTGGTGCTAGAATTTCTGCTCTCATTCTGGCGTACGCGGCAATATGTACGTGTATCGCAATCGTCGCTTTCAAAAAATCCCCTATGTGATGATTTTTTGGTGGCAGGCTCTCTTTTTGAGACATCCCCTGCATGTCTCCCCTGAGTGAGGATGTGCACGCCGGCCGGCTCCACAGCTGTTCCCCTCCAGCCACCACGCTTTTCCAGCGGCACACTGACTACTCCATACTGATGACAGCTCTTCACCCTGTATACCCACCTGATCGATGTTCACACCGTACCACGGCTTCCATGCTATTATGTACCTAATCTATGAGAGTGTTCCTACCTTTTAACCTGAATAAAATGTTATGCTGCACTTAGAGGCGCTTCTTCTCCTTTGTCACATTTAGAAAACAAGAAAAAAGTGAACTTGTTGTGCAGGTGACAGGTATTCTTGGTACACTTACAGAGTGAGAGTCAGCAGGCACTTGGACAGTTACAGTTTTTCCTGAAGGTTTGACTTCATTCAGAAGCTCTCGCAGTGTTGGTGTCTGAGACAAATTCTGTAAGCATATGGTGGAAGACAGTTTTATAACAATTATTGCTATGCCTTTATATTGAGTCATGTGACAGATACAACATTCACATGCTGACCTGCATCACAGCATTGAAGAAGCATGTGTTCCCCAGGTTGCTGAGCCCTTTCACAGTGACCTCCTTGTTGTCATTCTGTGTGTTGGCTGCATTGGTACCCTTTGCACCCCTGTTGAGATCTTCTACCACATGATGTTCTTCATTCTCCTGCTTTTCAGAATTACCATCATCTTCACCTGTCTGAACTATCGCACAAAAAACAATTTTATATTGATTATTTTATTTTTATATCAAACATCTACAGTGAGATTTGGTCCAAATAATTAGGTCAAACTCAAAACAGTAGGCCCAAATAGGTGGAAGAAATATATATGGACCAAACCTTTCTTAAAGTGTTACTAAACCCAGGACCCTGCATTCACTATATCTGGTCTCCCACAGTGCACAGAACATGGAAATTCAATTATTTTAGTAAATACAAACTGCTAAATACAATTATTTTAGTAAATACAAACTGCTAAATACCTTTTCTTATCAGCAGTATATAGCAGTCTTGTGACTTCTATCAGTGTCTAGCAGAGCACTGGGTAACACTTGTAGGAGGAGTTTTCATTCTCCTCTCACTGTCCGATGAGGTTGCAGGACCCTTGACCCTCTGTCTGGTCTTCCCTGTGCAAATCACATGCACCCTACTCCCCCCCCAAAAAAACAAAAACACAATTCTTTCTAGCAATACAACCAAACTGAGCATGTGCAAAGTGCCTCCTAAGGTCCTGTACTATCAACAGATTGATTGGGGACTGTGAAGAAGGGGAGGATCAGAAAAAAGCCTTTTTACACAATGAATGAAGAGGATCAACCCCTTAGGTTCCACAGTGAGTATATAACAAGCATGCTGTACTGCATATACAGACTGATTTTACTGTTGTGGGTTTAATAACACTTTAAGGCTACACTCCTGTCTCAGCAGGTCTTGCATAATTGTTCAGATTCCTTTCCTGTACTAAAATTGTTAACTCCGATTTCACTGTATGCCGAGCTTCCCATGGTGGGTATTAAAAGCTGCAGCAAGTCAGATACAGTCTTCCTCTTTTTCTGGCTAAAAGATGTCCAGCATCATCTAGCCCTCTCCTGCAAAAAAAGAGTTGCCTACACACAGTGGGTTTTTTTTTTTTGTTTTTTAGGTTTAGTTCCAAGTTGAGGATTTAACAACATTTATTGAGCATTTCTAAATTTAGTTTACTTTTGACAAAACAGTTAAATCTGTGGGTTTTAATTTCACATTGTTTACTTTTCAAATTCTGTTATATTAGCCTAGGTTCACACTAGTACTGCTGCATAATCATGCTTTTCATCACAGCTTTACACACATGATTTTTGCAGTATTTTTTGTTGGAGGAAGGGACTGGATTTTATACACAAAAACACTGCCAAAAACACATTAAATACTTTCCCACTGAAGTCTAATGGCCAAAAACACAATATTGCTGCACCAAAAGAAGCACCTGCACCTTTTCAAAAAAATTGCACTGCACCATGTTGCATTGACATGGACACCATAGAGATTAACTGATCTTCATTGTCATTCATGGCAGAGTGAGGGCAGACGCAGGAGAGATGACACTAGTGTGAACGAGGGCTTTATTGGACAACAAACCAACAAGTTAGCAAAGGGGTTTGGCAAGGGCTTGAAAATGTTCTCCTCATACAATGATAAAAATACAAACCTGTATTTGAAATCTTCACTTTTGTCTTGGACTTTCTTTGAATATAATCCACCAATTGCCGTAACCGCCCTGTGCTGCTGTACTGAACCTCATCATCACAAAGGTAGCACCTGTCATCATATTCACAAGGAAATCAAAATTCACAACAAAAATTTCATTGTAATGATTATTTCAGATTTCTCTATATAGGCTACCATCAACATTAAAGAAGATCTATCATTAAAGTGGTTGTAAACCCAAGTGAAGTGACTGTCCTCAGGTGATACAAAGATAAAACAAATCCTCCTACATATGTTGTACCTGTTTATCTGCAGTCTCCTCTTCACTACATCCATTCAAAGTGCTGAATTTACAAAGCTTGAAATGCTGACAAAAAGAAGGGGGGAGGAGAGCTGAAGTTACACTCTGCAGAGCTCAGTGAGGAGAGCTGATTGGAGGGAAGAGACACACCCCCTCCCTCCACACAGCTTACAGGAACAGAGCTGAGGCTGTCAATCTGCTGGAGGTCCCTCCCCCATCACCTTTTTTCTCTTGGTGTCAGGAAAACTTGTCAGAAGAAACTCATGCAGATAGCAAAGGAACAAAGCAGCAGACAGAAATGACACTTAGTGCTCTTAATTGAGACAAGTATACACTATAGAGGGATATGCTTTGCTCATATTTCATGTCTGAGGTTTATAACCACTTTAAGCGTTCACTTCCCACAGATTAATAAGACAGACTGCATTGCTAGGAATACAAAACCTTGCTTGCTTTGAGCTAGCCTTCATAGTCATACATTCTTTTCCAGTAAAATCAAACTGATGCAGCAGTTTTAGGTGCAGCAATTTTAGCACCAACGTTTCTCACATAAAATTTTTTTTTTTTATCACATCTGAAAAATGAAAGCTAATTCTAGCCTAACAGTAAAGTTCAACCATAATCTGGTATTTGCATGCATCTATGTTAGCCTTCAAATACATTTTTTTGTGTCAAAGTAAAGACCCTTGGATGCACAGTACCTGTGCTTCTAGAACCCACTGAGAACCTAGGATTTGTCAGGAGGTGGATAGTAACCGAAGGAGGAGTAGGGCTTAGTGTCTAGGAAAGAAGTTGAGGGAAGTGTCTCCACCTGTTTAATGTTGAACTCCAGGCACAAAAAAAATGTATTTAAATATGTTATTCAATAGCCACATAGGAAGCCACACTGTGCACCAAATGTCTTTGCAAACCTAGATATTTCTTTGTAAAAGCAGCAGTATCACTATGCTGTACACAGCCAGTGCAGAGAGCAGAGCTGTGGGATGGGCCTTCTAGGCCCATCCCATCATAGTTCCACCCACTATAGGTTGACTGCAGAAACCTACAGGAGGGGGCAGAGACAAGACCAGTCATCCTGCAGAAGGAGAGAGAGCAGCAGGGACCAGTCTTGTATTTCAGGAAGCTCCTGCACAGAGACAGTGTTTTATACTAGATTATTGCAGGAAGATTTACACAAAGCGCATTGAGATTCAAGAATAAACATGCATCTTTTATTAGAACAATATTTGCTTATCCCGGAGATCAGCTTTAATTGATAATCATTATTATTCCATATCACATGTACAAAACACAGGTTTAAAATACATACTAGTAACACCTAAATATGTGCCTACAACTATAAGCATGTGTCATAATACAGAAGTATCACATACCACACATTCCACTCGCCAACGCTGAGCACTAGGCAGTGTGGTTCTGACCTTGGTGTGTTGTAGTGGTTTAGTGCATGCTGATGTTCTGAATGTCTTCCACATCCCTAAATAAAACAAAATGATGGTCAATAATGGTCACGGGAGACCATAAAATCATAAAAGGCAGGCAGCCCTTCATGTGTATAGCTGCAGTGCAGACAGCAGATACAGTGGATATAAAGTCTACACACCCGTTGTCAGGTTTCTTTTATGTAAAAAATGAGACAAAGATAAATCATTTCAGAACTTTTTCCACCGTTAATATAACCTATAAACTGTACAACTCAGTTGAAAAACAAACTGAAATCTTTTAGGTGGAGGGAAGTAAAAATTAAAAACTAAAATAATATGGTTGCATAAGTGTGCACACCCTTAAACTAATACCTTATTGAAGCACCTTTTGATTTTATTAAAGAACTCAGTCTTTTTGGGTATGAGTGTCAGCATAGCACATCTTGACTTGGCAATATTTGCCCACTCTTCCTTGCAAAAACACTCCAAATCGGTAAGATTGTGAGGGTATCTCCTGTGCACAGCCCTCTTTAGATCACCCCGCAGATTTTCCATCAGATTCAGGTCTGGGCTCTGGCTGGGCCATTCCAAAACTTTAATCTTCTGCTGAAGCCATTCTTTTGTTGATTTGGATGTATGCTTTGGGTCGTTGTCATGCTGAAATATGAAGTTCCTCTTCATGTTCAGCTTTCTAGCAAAAGCCTGAAGGTTTTGCGCCAATATTGACTGGTATTTGGAACGGTTCATAATTCACTCTACTTTGACTAAGGCCCCAGTTCCAGCTGAAGAAAAACAGCCCCAAAGCATGATGCTGCCACCACCATGCTTCACTGTGGGTATGGTGTTCTTTTGGTGATGTGCAGTGTTGTTTTTGCGCCAAACATATCTTTTGGAATTATGGCCAAAAAGTTCAACCTTGGTTTCATCAGCCCATAACACATTTTCCCACGTGCTTTTGTGAGACTTCCGATGTGTTTTTGCAAAATTTAGCCGGGCTTCGATGTTTTTCTTCATAAGAAAAGGATTCTGTTTTGCCATTCTACCCCGTAGCCCAGACATATGAAGAATACAGGAGATTGTTGTCACATGTATCACACAGCCAGTACTTGCCAGATATTCCGGCAGCTCCATTAATGTTGCTGTAGGCTTCTTGGCAGCCTCCCAGACCAGTTTTCTTCTCGTCTTTTCATCAATTTTGGAGGGACATCCAGTTCTTGGTAATGTCACTGTTGTGCCGTATTTTCTCCACTTGATGATAACTGTCTTCACTGTGTTCCATGGAATATCCTTGCCTTGGAAATTATTTTGTACCCTTCTCCTGACTGATCCCTCTGATGCTTTGGAAGTTCTCTGCGGACCATGGCTTTTGCTGTAGGATGTGACTAAGAAAATGTCAGGAAAGACCTACTAGAACGACTGAACTTTATTTGGGGTTAATCAGAAACACTGTAAAATGATGGAAGGTGTGTACTGACCCCTATTTAACTTGATTTTGAATGTGATTGCTTAATTCTGCACACAGTTACATCCCCAGTTATAAGCAGGTGTACACACTTATGCAACCACATTATTTTAGTCTTTTATGTTTGTTCTCCCCCCCCCCCCCACCCCAAAAAAAAAAAAAAAAATATTTCAGTTTGTTTTTCAATTAAGTTGTACAGTTTATAGGTCACATTAAAGGTGGGAAAAGTTATGAAATTATTTATCTTTGTCTCATTTTCTTATATCACAGAAACCT